AAGGGTTACAAGGGGTGACAGGGGGTGACAAGGGGTTACAGGGGGTTACAAAGGATTATAGAAACCTTTTTCTAACTAGAACGTTCCCAGATACTTTTTCTTGGTCTATTTTGCATAAAAATCAAAGTTGAAGAAATCTCCAATTTTTGACCAAAACGATGGACTAACCCCTTTGGAAAAATTCTAATTTTACGTTTTTCGTACACAGTTGTTTTTATAGTCTTTAAAGGCTTCTTTTTTATCTAGAACGTCAGCAAACACTTTTTCTCGATCTATTTTTGATAAACACAAAAGATGAAAAAACTTCAACTTTGTGACCAAAATCATGGACTATCCCCTTTGCAAAAATGCCAATTTTGCCTTCTTTTGAAACCCGTGTTTATATTGTCTAGAAAGGCTTGTTTTCTAACGAGAACGTCACCAAATACTTTTTCTGGGTGTATTTTGCATAAAACGAAACGTTCACAAAATTTCAAATTTTTGACCAAAACCATGGACTAACCCCTTTGCAAAAATGCCAATTTTGTAGGTTTTTGAAACCGATGTTTTTGTTGTTCAGAAAGGCTTGTTTGCTAGATAAAACGTCGAAAATCGTTTTTTCACCATTTATTTTCACGATTTATGACATGGGAATACAGGGGGTTACAAGGGGTTACAGGGGGTGACAAGGGGTTACAAGGGGTTACAGGGGGTTACAAGGGGTTACAAGGGGTTACAAAGGGTTACAAGGGGTGACAGGGGGTGACAAGGGGTTACAGGGGGTTACAAAGGATTATAGAAACCTTTTTCTAACTAGAACGTTCCCAGATACTTTTTCTTGGTCTATTTTGCATAAAAATCAAAGTTGAAGAAATCTCCAATTTTTGACCAAAACGATGGACTAACCCCTTTGGAAAAATTCTAATTTTACGTTTTTCGTACACAGTTGATTTTATAGTCTTTAAAGGCTTCTTTTTTATCTAGAACGTCAGCAAACACTTTTTCTCGATCTATTTTTGATAAACACAAAAGATGAAAAAACTTCAAATTTTTGACCAAAATCATGGACTATCCCCTTTGTAAAAATACCAATTTTGTCTTATTTTTAAATCCATGTTTATATTGCCAAAAACTCTTGTTTTCTAACGAGAACGTAACCAAATACTTTTTTTCGGTGTATTTTGCATAAAACGAAACGTTCACAAAATTTCAAATTTTTGACCAAAGCCATGGACTAACTAACCCCTTTGCAAAAAGGCCAATTTTGTGGGTTTTTGAAACCGATGTTTTTGTTGTTCAGAAACTAACTTTTTCACAAAAATCATGGACTATCCCTTTTGTAAAAATGCCAATTTTGCCTGCTTTTTAAATCCATGTTTTACTGTCTAAAAAGGCTTGTTTTCTAACGAGAACGTCACCAAATACTTTTTCTGGGTGTATTTTGCATAAAACGAAACGTTCACAAAATTTCAAATTTTTGAACAAAACCATGGACTAACCCCTTTGCAAAAATGCCAATTTTGTAGGTTTTTGAAACCGATGTTTTTGTTGTTCAGAAAGACTTGTTCGCTATATGAGACGTCAAAACTCGTTTTTTCACGATTTATTTTCACAATTTATGACATGGGAATACCGGGGGTTACAAGGGGTTACAGGGGCTTACAAGGGGTTACAAGGGGTTACAGAAGGTTACAAGGGGTTACAAAGGGTTACAAGGGGTTACAAGGGGTTACAAAGGGTGACAGGGGGTGACAAGGGGTTACAGGGGGTTACAAAGGATTAGAGAAACTTTTTTCTAACTAGAACGTTCCCAGATACTTTTTCTTGGTCGATTTTGCATAAAAATGAAAGTTGAAGAAATGTCAAATTTTTGACAAAAACCATGGACTAATTCGTTTGGAAAAATTCTAATTTTAGGTTTTTCGTACACAGTTGTTTTTATAGTCTTTAAAAGCTTCCTTTTTATTTAGAACGTCAGCAAACACTTTTTCTCGATCTATTTTTGATAAACACAAAAGATGAAAAAACTTCAAATTTTTGACCAAAAGCATGGACTATCCCCTTTGTAAAAATGCCAATTTTTGTTTTATTTTTAAATCCATGTTTATATTGCCAAAAAATCTTGTTTTCTAAGAAAAACGTCACCAAAGACTTTTTCTCGGTGTATTTTGCATAAAACGAAACGTTCACAAAATTTCAAATTTTTGACCAAAACCATGGACTAACCCCTTTGCAAAAATGCCAATTTTGTGGGTTTTTGAAGGCGATGTTTTTGTTGTTCAGAAAGGCTTGTTTGCTATATAAAATGTCGAAAATCGTTTTTTCACGATTTATTTTCACGGTTTATGACATGGGAATACAGGGGGTTACAAGGGGTTACAAGGGGTTACAGGGGGTTACAAGGGGTTACAAGGGGTTACAAAGGGTTACAAGGGGTTACAAGGGGTGACAGGGGGTGACAAGGGGTTACAGGGGGTTACAAAGGATTGTAGAAACTTTTTTCTAACTAGAACGTTCCCAGATACTTTTTCTTGGTCTACTTTGCATAAAAATCAAAGTTGAAGAAATCTCAAATTTTTGACCAAAACAATGGACTAACCCTTTTGGAAAAATTCTAATTTTACGTTTTTCGTACACAGTTGTTTTTACTGTCTTTAAAGGCTTCTTTATTATCTACAACGTCAGCAAACACTTTTCCTCGATCTATTTTTGATAAACAAAAAAGATGAAGAAACTTTAACTTTTTGACGAAAATCATGGACTATCCCCTTTGTAAAAATGCCAATTTTGCCTTCTTTTTAAATCCATGTTTATATTGTCTAAAAAGGCTTGTTTTCTAACGAGAACGTCACCAAATACTTTTTCTGGGTGTATTTTGCATAAAACGAAACGTTCACAAAATTTCAAATTTTTGACCAAAACCATGGACTAACCAACCCCTTTGCAAAAATGCCAATTTTGTGGGTTTTTGAAACCGATGTTTTTGTTGTTCAGAAACTAACTTTTTCACAAAAATCATGGACTATCCCTTTTGTAAAAATGCCAATTTTGCCTTCTTTTTAAATCCATGTTTATATTGTCTAGAAAGGCTTGTTTTCTAACGAAAACGTCACCAAATACTTTTTCTGGGTGTATTTTGCATAAAACGAAATGTTCACAAAATTTCAAATTTTTGAACAAAACCATGGACTAACCCCTTTGCAAAAATGCCAATTTTGTAGGTTTTTGAAACCGATGTTTTTGTTGTTTAGAAAGGCTTGTTTGCTATATAAAAAGTCGAAAATCGTTTCTTCACGATTAAATTTTCACGATTTATGACATGGGAATACAGGGGGTTACAAGGGATTACAGGGGGTTACAAGGGGTTATAAGGGGTTACAAGGGGTTACAAGGGGTGACAGAGGGTGACAAGGGGTTAAAGGAAGTTAAAGGGGATCATAGAAACTTTTTTTTTTAACTAGAACGTTCCCAGATACTTTTTCTTGGTCTGTTTTGCATCAATATCAAAGTTGAAGAAATCTCAAATTTTTGACCAAAACGATGGTCTAACCCCTTTGGAAAAATTCTAATTTTGCGTTTCTCGTAAACAGTTGTTTTTATAGTCTTTAAAGGCTTCTTTTTTATCTAGAACGTCAGCAAACAGTTTTTCTCGATCTATTTTTGATAAACACAAAACATAAAAAAACTTCAACTTTTTTACCAAAATCATGGACTATCCCCTTTGGAAAAATGCCAATTTTGCCTTCTTTTTACATCCAAGTTTATATTGTCTAGAAAGGCTTCTTTTCTACCGAAAACGTCACAAAATACTTTTCTGGGTGTATTTTGCATAAAACGAAACGTTAACAAAATTTCAAATTTTTGACCAAAACCATGGACTAACCCCTTTCGAAAAAATGGCAAAGTTGTGGGTTTTTGAAACCGGTGTTTTTGTTGTTCAGAAAGGCTTGTTTGCTATATAAAACGTCGAAAATCGTTTTTACTAGATTTATTTTCACGATCTATGACATAGGAAAACAAGGGGTTACAACGGATTACATGGGGTTACAAGGGGTTACATGGGGTACACAACGGGTTACAGGGGGTTACAGGGGGTTACAAGGGTTACAAGGGTTTACAGGGGGTTACAAGGGGTTACAAGGGGTGACAGGGGGTGACAAGGGGTTAAAGGAAGTAACAAAGGATTATAGAAACTTTTTTCTAACTAGAACGTTCCCAGATACTTTTTCTTGCTCTGTTTTGCATAAAAACCAAAAATTAAGAAATCTCAAATTTTTGACCAAAACGATGGACTAACCCCTTTGGAAAAATTCTAATTTTGCGTTTTTGGTAAACAGCTTTTTTTATAGTCTTTTATGGCTTCTTTTTTATCTAGGACGTCAGCAAACAGTTTTTCTCGATCTATTTTTGACAAACACAAAAGATGAAAAAACTTCAACTTTTTGACAAAAATCATGGACTATCCCCGGTGCAAAAATGCCAATTTTGCCTTCTTTTCACATCCAAGTTTAAATTGTCTAGAAAGGCTTGTTTTCTAACAAAAACGTTACTAAATACTTTTTTGGGTGTCTTTTCCATAAAACGAAACGTTAACAAAATTTCAAATTTTTGACCAAAGCCATGGAATAACCCCTTTGGAAAAAATGCCAATTTTGTGGGTTTTTGAAACCGATGTTTTCGTTGTTCAGAAAGGCTTCTTTGCTATATAAAACGTTGAAAATCGTTTTTTCACGATTTATTTTCACGATCTATGACATGGGAACACAGAGGGTTACAAGGGGTTACATGGGGTTACAAAGGGTTACAGGGGGTTACAAGGGGTTACATGGGGTTACAAAGGGTTACAGGGGGTTACAAGGGGGTACAAGGGGTTACAGGGGGTTACAAGGGGTTAGAAGGGGTTACAAGGGGTTATAGAAACTTTTTTCTAACTAGAACGTTGCCAGATACTTTTTCTTGGTCTATTTTGCATAAAAACAAAAGTTGAAGAAATCTCAAATTTTTGACCAAAACGATGGACT